TATCCCTGCCTTGAAGTTGGCTGATTTGGATTTAAACCTCTGCCCCTTCCCCTTTAACTTTGGGTGTCTGGTATCTTGTCTCAGCAATGAGAGAAAAGTAACTGCACAAACTCCCACCTTAAATGAGCATGAGAACAATGGCCAACCTTGGAGTTTAGAAACTGATGCAGGTGGCAGGGATTCTGCAATATCCTGGTCTGTCTACAACGGTGTCGATTGGAAGAAGTAACTAGAGGAATAGAAGGAAGCATCCGGTGAAAAGTGGGTCTTGTGAGAAAGGAGAGTGCTAATGATGCAGTGGCTACAAAAATCGCTGAAGTATAGTAGTTTCCTCTGTTAGCTTCCCATTAACTGAGCATTTCTAATTTAATTGGATCACACTTCACACCCCTTCTGTGTGCAGGATAAAGTCCCGTGTGCCTGAAAAGCAGAGAACTTCAACGCTCACTGAGTGTGAAGAAAGCTGACACAAAGAAAAGGGACTGGCAGTCCAGGCCAGCTCCAGTCAGCCTCTCTTCACAAAAGGGCTGCCATCACTGGCTGTGTGCATCTCCTGTTTCAGGCTATTCAGGCTGCACTGCACAGTGTGAGGGTAAATAAATTAAATGAGTAAATAAACTGGCAAGTTCCTGGCTGGAGCATGCAGTCAGGCATCAGTGTTTACATGTTGACTAACAATTAAACCATCACTACGGAGTGACCCACCTATAGTACTTAGGATTTTTAGGCCAGAATAGATTTTTCAATAAGAAAATTGAAGGGAAGACTTTCCTAAATTTGCAGAGGTGATTATTGATTGACTAGTCAGTCCTCTTGGTCAGAATTTCTTTTCACTTCCTTGTGTGACCCCATCCACATCCCAATGTTAGGTAACATTTCCTGGCCAGAGTTTATGGCTTGTTATGTCTAATCGAACACTCAGCCCAGGTTGGGGGAAAGAATATCTTAACTGGATGCTTCCAGGAGTCAGGGTAAGGCTACACTGAGATGAGGGGAGGGTGCCAGTCCTTGGCCCGTTGTTGGAGTGAGACCTGCTCCCCATTTCATGAGCCTGATTAGCTGAAACCAAAGCCTCAGACACCTGGTGACATCACTTGCTCGTCGCACTAATTTCTAGTTACTGTTCACCATTGCTGTTGCAGTTGAAGCACGTTAAGACATCTTTACCATATTTTGAATTCACCTTGTGAAGGAACCTGAATTGAGCTCCTTGGGAAAGGCTGATGCAAAAACTCCTTTTGGAAAAGTTCTGCTGCTTTTGTTTTTCCTCAGGGGTATAATGCTAGCTGCATATTCATAATTTCTCAAGTATTGGTCACCTCTTCATGTTTAGTTTTCCTGCCTGTTTTAACTTCAGTTAAAAGCAAAGAGAAAACCAGGAAATATTAGGACAGAAGCCTCTAGAATAACCTGTTTGTGCAAGAGACACAGGACTGTGCCCCAGTAGCCAGCACCCAGCAGAGCCACAGACGCAGCTGAAGCTTCTCTTCCGTCTATGCAACGTCCAGCCCAGAGCACAATCTCCTCTCTGGCATGAACTTCACCAGCGAGAAGCAACACTGTGGCTTACACTCACTCTGTCCTGGCCAGAAGTAGCCTGTGGCTCCAACACACTACAGGGTGCACAGCAGAGCCCCTCAGGTTCTGCAAAGGAAAGGAGAACTGACAGATGTGGACACTGAAGTCAATTGCTCTGCCTAATTTCTAAGATATTTAAATTTACAATTTCCAACCAAAATTTTCTCACTGGACAGAGATCATTACCTGGAATGTTATTACCTATTTCACCTCTTATTTTAGCTATTAGCCTCACCAAAGCTATATACAAATAAAGGAGGAACTACAGAAACTAGAGAAGAGGGTGGTATGTTTGTATGTGTACCTATGTGTCCTGATGTGGGAAAATATTCAATACCCATGACAGAATTGGGTTATTATCATTATATCAAGAGCTCTTTTAAATTGTAAAAAAATAAATATTGATAAATATCTCAGCAACAAAACATCTCAAAGTGGAGAATGTGAACAAATAATTCACACATGGAGATCTATAAATGACTAATAGATAAAAAGCAACCTGGGCCAGTTAATATGTTAAGCGACCTTCTGTGACACAAGAGTCTGCTGCGCATGGGATCCTTGAAAAAAGAATGGTGTGGACAATCCAGGTCAAGGATAATGGCCTATTCATGGGTAGAAATCGACAGAAACTACAGCAGGATCAAGAGTCCTGCAGAAGCAGGGTGCTGGAGTGAAGATGGAAGGCAACCAGAACCACTTTTCTGTGTCCATGACCTGAAATGTCCAACTTTCTATAACTCGTGGGCTGCATACAGGCATACTTTTCAAATGTTAGAGAGTGCTACAGAAACCTGCGTATTCCTGAAGGCAGATTGGTGGTTTATGTTGCAGAGAGGGGAAATTTCATGGGATAATAAATATCAAAATATTAGTAGTATCCAGGCTGGGGATTTAGCTCAGTGTTCTGCTCCCTGCCTCCCAAGCTCAAGGTTCTGTGTCCAATCCCTGGTACCAAAATAAATAAATTAATTAAAAAATAGTAGTATCTGTCTGTGAGTAGAAAATTTATACAGAGGTTTTAATTTACTGTTTAGTAATTTTCCATATTTTACCATTGTTTATGTTAAGTATTCTTTAATTAATAGATATTATTTTTGTTATAACATTTTAATTAGAGAAAGAAATCTTGTCAACCTAAAATTCTAAGACCTGTAGAACCTATTGCTTTCTACATTTCTCCAAAACGAAGTGTGCAGGAAATATATCAGAATCCACTCATTCCGTACTACACTAATAACTCCATACCCATACTCTGTTGCTCCTCTCACACAACCTGCCTTGGTCAATGTCCCTCATCTCTGCACCTTGTTTTCTTCAACCCTCCTCTCCCCATCTGATGGAAAAACTGATCTTATGAATCCCAGCCCTGTCCTAGCTTTATAAGCACTCTGTGTCCTTATGGTTTAAGATCTTCATCATCTCTTTGCTAAATGAATAAAAGGGAATGGTTGTGAAATTTTGTGGCTAGCCAGGAAGAGGTTGAAGAAAAGTCCTCCAGGAAGGCTCTTTGGGGTCCTGCTGTGCTAAATGCACCTGAGACTGGTTCGAGTTGAAATGTGAAACTTTTATGAGAGCAAGAATCATCTCACATCTGCCTGGTTGTGTCTTCAGATTTGGAAATATTCCTACAATGGATGAAGTGAGAAAAAGGAAATGTTTTTAACAAAAAAATAACTGAATTGAACAACTGTGAATTAACTGTGTTATTAAGCAACCATGGGTTAACTAGGTAACGGCGCTCTTTGTAAAATGTACCCGAGTAGCCATGGCAGCTTCTGTGATCTATCACCAAAGGAGCTTAAGGGACTCAAGAAGTCCTGTCTGAACTCTTTGCTCTGTCCCTGCTTAGCTGCTCTGCTTTGTGTAAATCCTTCTTGCTGTATTCCCAGGGAAACTCCGATGGAATTAAGCCTCATAGATGTCGAATAACTAACCAACCAAAGACTGCCAAGTACTCTGCCTCTGCTTCTGTACCTCCTGCTTCCAACCCTATAAAATTGCCAGCCCGCTGATATTCTGGGCCAGACTTCTTTGGGAGAAGGATCCCAGTCAGGTCCACCGGTGTAAATAAAGCTATTTTCTGCCTCCAGACATCCGGGTGCCATCTGTTTCCCGGTTTTGGTATTCTGTGATAGTAACTTAACTTGATCTACTTAGAGATTCCTTTGAGTCTCCACTGGACTAACCTGGGCAAGGACAGATGACAAGGTCACAGTGCTTTCGCCCAAAAAATGGACCCAAACAGTGAGTGAATTGGACTTTTCTCTGCCTGAGAACTTCTTTTCATAGCGGAAATCTGGCTTCCTGCACATGAGGAGCCACGGCTCTGATGACTGTTTGGGCTGTTCGGTTTCTTGGTGCCGGCGCCAGCAAAGGTGATCGCGCAGTCATCTCACAGATGCATCACAGCCTCTGTCCCAGGCAAAGGCAAAGCTCACAGATGTGAAGTTTTTTCCTTGATGATCAAAGACAATGTCATCCAGAACAGGGACCGGTGAGTCTCGGTGATGCTGGGGCATGGGCAGCATAATGAGAAAGTCACATACTTTCTTGCCTCTCTTCAGTGTCCTCTCAGGCAGAATGAGGACAGCTGCTCTTCTTCACGCCAGTTTGGGGAATTTTTAAAGTGAGGAAAGAGTCTGAGACTGCAAAAGTCTGAGACATTTAATTTAGTAGATGACCACAGGAACCCCGGTTCTGTCACCAGGGAGAGCTTTCAGAAGTGGACATCAGTAAGGTCACTGATGCCTAAAAGGCAGGGACCGCTTCTCCAGCCTGCACATGGAGGCTGGCCCAAAGAAAATCTGCAGACAGGAGGGAAGCACATATGCATGGGGGACCGAAGATGCAAGGGCACACACGTGCTCTGAGATCAGAGGCAGCATCATCCATCTATCTGCGCATCTGCAGGAACCCAGCCCAGGTAGAGGGTAGGGTTTCAAAGGCGAAAATGATGACTTGCAGGGAGGCACACACAAGCTGAAAATTCACGAGAAAAAATAATTGCTGCTCCTGATGGAAACTGGAAAGCTTAGGGAAATCTAGCACTGTATTACCTCTGTTTTTGAAAAACAAATTGTAACTGAAAAGCTAAAGGCATTAGAAAGAATTATAATAAGGTGGGTGGTTTTTGGAGTCTCAGCTCCCAATGAGACTGACTTCACAATAAGCAACTCTGAGCAAGAATATCTATTTTCTCAAAGGTAGAGCCTTAAGAAAAACACATTTGGAAAGTTAATGAGGAGGGAAGAGGCAAAAAGTAACACAATTTGTTTAAAAAACTCATGCAAAGAAGAGTGCTTAGCAGAATCTCAGCAGTATGAGTAATTCTGAGTGAAATTACATGCAAGGACAGATCACTTTTCATATAGGCTTTTCCTACTGTTATAAGCAGTTACAATTCCCTTGCTTTTATTAACCACTTGAAATGTTATTTGCTTGATTGAATGGCAATTCTGGTCATTAATGCTTTGGCACAGAAGCACAGTTACTGAAAGGGAAAAGCCAGGACAATAACCTTGGCCATCCTTACAAGGGCCTCGTTGGCACGGCTGAGATCATGGTGACAAATGCCATGGAAACAGTAGATCTGAAATAGTGTAAACAAGTCTCACAGTTTGGCTCCCAGGGCTCTTTCACCCATGTTCTGTAGCAAAGCTGATGGGCCTTCTTCAGGGATTGCTCAGTACCCTGTGTGTGACCCCAGGGCTGAAGAAGACAGGGCCCAGTGTTTCTGAAATGCTTGATGGGCTTCAGTGGTTGGGGAAGTTATAACTCTGCTGTGAGGGGATGAGGCATAAGTTCCTAGTCTGTTTATTGACTAACCCCACACCTTACCTCTTGTTAGCGGCAGGTGGGCTCATGTTACTGTGGTCACTAGACCTGTCTTTCAGGAGATATCTGAAGCATCAACATGGGAAAAGAAGGGATCTGAGATGAAGGAGGCATGTGTCTTAGCCACTTTTCTCATTGTTAAGATAAAGTACCAAACACTCAAAGTTACAGGAGGGAAGATTTATCCAGCTCACAGTTTGTAGAGGTTTCAGTCCATAGTCGGCTGGCTCCACAGCAGGTGGCCTGACAGAGAGATATTGCAGGAGAGAAATAGTTCATGGCAAGCAGGCACAAGAAAGCAAAGCAGCAAGTAGCCAGCCCCTCCTTTCCCTTTTCTCCCATCCAGGCTACCAGCCCTTTGGGTGGTGCCACTTAGAAATATGGCAAATTCAACCAGTGGATTAATTTAGTGCCACACATTCTCAATCCTAGTATCACAGCGCCCTAGATCCGTCCAGCTCTGGAAAGCCCCATCTATGTACGCGTGAGGTTTTGGGGGGACAGCTAGACACAAGCCATAACAGCGTTTCCCATTTCTTCAGTGTTTCTCAATCCGTAGGGCCTTGCCTCCAGCCCAGTCATCCCGTAGGCCTAGAGGACTGTTCACATTACATATCCAAGGACCAAACTCCTCCAAGTAAACTGCAGCCTGGAGCAGGGCTAAGCTGTATTGCCTGCGACTCTCTCTTCAGGAACAGCCTCTGCTACAGTCCCTTCTAGAATCTATTTTTTTTTTCCTTTTATGAGAAACACATACAGTACGATAAGCATCTGGCCCATTCATTTCTCAGTGGGGCTGTGTGTGCTCCGTGCTGACCTCCCTGGCCTTCCATTTGGCTGGAAGCAATTCTCTTATTAAATCAGAAACCAAAGAGGACCCCTGCCCCTTTCTCGGACCCCGAGACAAGCCTGAAGCTGGCCTCATCCTGACTTCAACAAACTGTGTGGCATTTAAATGTCAACATTTCTCCAAAGAACAGAGGTGGAGGAGGTAGGCTGTGCACAACCTTTTATACTTCATTTCTCATTTATAAGAAGAAAAGGAAGGGAAAATGTCATGGGAAATTCAGTGCTGAAACCTAAGGCAGTGACTTGGTTGGGCAGAGACGCAATGACTATGGGCTGGGACCTCAGCCCTCCAAAAGTCACCTCCCCCAGGATTATAATCTGCTCCAGCTGCTGCCTTTGATCTCACCATCAAAGGCCATTAGGGGCCATCAGTGGCCTCTACAATGGGCCGCAACCTCTGTGTGCCTTCCATGAGCTACACCCCTGTCCTGAGAAGCAGGTACTGTAGTGAACCCGAGAAAGACAGACTTGACAAGCGGGGAGAGGACCTGTGTCCCTGAGGCCTATGGACTTGGTAAATTGTCCACTGTCCAGTCCGGTGATAGGCCTGCAGCTGCAGAATCTAAGCTTAGCAGATGGGGCATTTACAAATAAGTGCTGATGGGCTGTACTGCTAGATGACTGAATGCAAAACATTCAGAAAAGAAACTGCTGGGCCGTTGGGACTCAGAAGAGCTAGTTCACCCAGGAACTCCATGACCATGTCCATGGCAGCCTACAGCTGAGCCAGCTGGTGTCCTCTACCACCCGTGGAGCACTTGTATCTCCCCGGGCCATGCTGGCAGGTGGACTCCTTGCATTTTTTTTCTTCCTAGGACTGCTTTTGTAGATCCTTGACACTGACAAGCCCCAGCTGACTGACCCAGTCTTTCTGTAGATGATTTACTTTTACCTAGTCTTTCCCTAGTCTGGTTTCCCATGAAGGCAGGGACTTGAGGTACTCTTTCAGTTTTTCTTGCTTGGAGGTGTTTCCTTTTTGAAGTAACTTTTCCTATTTCTGCTCTTATGGACATAGACATAAGCTTTATTCCTTTTGGTGCCATCAGAGCCCCCCAAATCAGAGATGCCCCATTACCAACAGATACATCCAATGAAATTCAGAAACATTAAGGAGTTTGCTTCAATGCACAGAGCCCATAGATGCTGAGTTAGGTCTCAAAGCCAGAGTTTGTTCTCTTTCCCAAATTATCACTCTGCTCCTGGACCTCTTAGTAAAGCAAATTTCATTTGCTTGTCCTTTGGATTGACTCAAAGAATTCATTTTTACTTTTGTTTGAATCTACTCAAAAGTCAATTCTTATTAAGCCTTTGGATGCCTTCTCTTTGCCTACAGAGACTATAAGTACTTTTAATTTGCTTTCAGTGTCTGCTGAGATCTTGCTCAACCACACTTCTTTTTTTTTAAAATAAATTCTTTATTAAGTAATATGAAATAATTGGCTGCTGTTAAAATTTCTAAAAATCTTCAGTTTGCTATCTGTGCTCTTTCTCATACTTTGCATTTTCTCTGCTTCTGTATACTCTACAAGGATGAAGGAACTTTTGGAAAAATGGGTTAAGACTGGAAATACTTTGGAAAGGACTATAGAAAAATGCTAGGTTACTTTGAAGAGACTGTCAAATATGGACAGTCCTGAAGTAAATGAGAGTTTTAGAAAAATCCTAACCACCTTAGGAAAAGACCAAGTTTCTGGGTACAGAATATTGGAAACCCTATATGCGGAGGGTACTGCTGGCAAAGATCAGAAGCATGTGAAGAACTAGTTACTGGAAACTGGAAGAAATGGAACCTTCGTCATGGAGTGGTAAATAGCAGAGAAAAATTGTCTGTTGTACAATTAAAGAGAAATCTGAAGAGGAAGAAAACTAGGTGGGCTATAGCTGGCTTTGAGACTGAGAGGGCAACATGATGGGAATGCCAATGGTCTTAAAGATTTTCAAGGAATCCTAGTTGATAATTACAGGAACTGGGGGCCTCAGCTTGGCCCTCTGTAGAGCTGCCTTCTTCTGCAAGCTAAAGTGCTTGCAGCAGATTCTTCCTTGGAGCCTGTATGTGAGAGCCTGGCTAGATGGCAAGTTTATTGCCCCCTTGTGAGACTCTAAGCAGAGGAACAAGGTAAGCTCATCTGCTAGTCTGACCTGCAGAATGATGAGATGTAAACGTGTTGTCTTTTAAGACACCAGTTTTGTAGTAATTCATTGCAGCACCAAGAGGAAACTACTACACTGGGGATTTTAAGGATGTCATATCTTTCATTTGTTTTGGAAAATTCTCATCCTTTCCTCATTCACTCCTTCTGACCTATTCTTTCTGTCCTCTCTCCTGGATCTTTAATCAGATGGTAGGTGCTCTCATTGACCTCGGATAGCTTACATTTTAAGATACTGTCTTAATGTGTATTATTTATCATTCCTTCTTGCTTAAGATACACATTCCTCCTGCTGTCTCCAATTCACCAGTCCTCTTCCCAGTTTTGTCTAATCTGCCACTGAGCCCACAAACTGGGTCTCAATTTCATTTTAGTATGCTGGAGCTTCAGAAATGTAATTGGATTCTTTTTGTTTTATTCCATTTTTCTTGTGACTTTCTCCGTCTTGTCACCTATCCTCTTTATACATTGACAGTAACTGATGGTTGGAGTATTTTCCATTGCTGTATTTCCACGGTTTGCTTTTATCTTAGCCTGGTTTCTGGTGGTTCATAATGCTAGGTCCCTCTGTTGACTTTACTGCAGGTGATGTTACCTTCCCCTGGCCCTCGTCCAGAACATTCTCTGGCAGGTAGCTGCACTGGAGGTATACCCATCCAGCCCAGTATACAAGGCTTTCAGATTCAACCTCATTAGCCTGACAAAGGTCCAAATTGAGACCTTTTGATAATTTTTCCTCAGTGTTTTCACCACTTTCTGCTAATCTTGTTAGGCTCTTATGATTCAGCTTGATAACCAGCTGGAGGGTGGGCTCACTTTTCTACACCCCTCAGGGCCTCTCCGAGGCCCCATCCCTTCAGCAGTGCTTAGCGCTAGTCCTCTTCTATTCTGAAAGGGCTCCAGGGCACTTGTGGAGCTGCCTCTCCCTGCTGACTTTCCCCTAGGGCTCCTCAGTGGAGTGAGCCCCAGAATGTTAGACCTCCTTCCCAGAGCCTACCTGCCTGCCAGAGTCTGGGCCTCTTTCACTCAACCTCAGGCTCTTTTCAGCTCACCATCTGTACCAGTCCTTGGAGATTGTTTTCCTTTGCAGATGAGAAAATAAAGTGGCTATCACCTGTATGAACTTTGGAAGTAACAGAGATGGCTTTTGTTCACCATTCACTAGTGAGACTTCAGTCACATGATCACACCAATCACTGGAAGCCTATCAAGTGCATTCTACATCTGTACCCAGAGAGAAGGGGAACTGGTATTTTGAACCCGTGGGAAAGGGCAATGGCATGGTCTGCATTTAATAAGGTAATAGAATTAATTTAGGGATTTTAATGACATCAGAAACCACCAGAGCCAAATGAACCCTGCAAATGACCATGGTCCTGTTCAGTCCTAGCTGTGGTTTATTACAGAACTGTATACAGCACATCAATAAACAAAAACATGAGACAAAGAAATTTTGCTGATTTAGGAACCAAATGTTGCTCTCACAGTATCATCGTACTTTCTCGTGTGAAGTGTCAAGATAGCACCCATGATTTAGAGTTTACAATGGGCTCTTTTAAAAATGCCGCTGTTATACGGATTACTTCAGTGAGTCTGCTGAATATTTCGATTCAATTAGCTGGAATAAATGTTCACTGGATGTGGGATAACTAAAAAATTTCACCCAGCATAAGGCTAAAATGTCTTTGCATCCAATGGCAATATGAGATGATTTCAAATTTTCATTGTTACAGTTTAAGTCCTAACTCCATACATTCACCATCTCAGGACTTCTAATAGGCATTCAGAGGATATAAGCAAAGCAAACTCAAGGTCTCTTTTCTTGAAGTTACTATGCTTTAGCTAATGAAACAGACAAAGAAAATGAAAATAAAGTAAAATGGCTGGAAACCACAAATATTTTACTCTTAAAAATCAGGTTATCAGTCCTATCATCAGTGATTTTTAAAAAATGTTAGACTTAATTTTAGAGCAGCTTTAAGTTTATCCAAAAACCCAGTGGATCATGCAAGTAACTCCCACAAACCCATTCCCCGCCCCATTTCAGCCATTATTACGTCTTGCACTAGTGGGGTCCACTTGTTCGATTTGATGGCAAACACTGGTATATCATTATTAACTAAAATCTGTAGCTTATCTACATCTCCTGTGTTATATAGTTATGTCTATTTTTACAAATGCATAATTAAAATATTAGAAAGAATAGTTTTTCAGTTATTTTAATTTATGATTTCTTGATAACATGATATTGAGCATCTTTTAATTGTGCTTAAATGCCACCTGGAATGATTAATATTTTGCCCATTTTTAATTGAGTTATTTGCTTACATATTGCTGACTTTTAAGAATTCTTTGCATATTTTGAATATCGGTCCTTTAGCAAATACATGTTTTGCAAATACTTTCTCCCTATCAATGGCTTATCTTTTCATTTTCTTAACTTTATTTCTCATAACTGAGGTTTTTACATTCTATGGAGGTCTAGCTTATGAATTTTATTCGTTCACAAATTGTGCTTTTAATATCAAGAAGTCAAGCTCAAGGTCATTCATATTTTCTCCTGTTATTCTTTAGTAGTTTATAGTCATATGTTTTATCTGTAGACTGCAACTTATTTGGAATGAATTCTGGTGAAAATAAAAAGTCTAATTATTATTATTATTATTATTATTATTATTATTATTAATTTTGCCTGTGGATGTCTAGTTGTTTCAGCACCACTTGCTGTAAAGCCTTTCCTTTTTACATTAAATTGTTTTTGCTCCTTGCATCTTGGCTATTCTTTGTCTTATTGATGCACTTATCTGTTCTTTCACCAATACTACACTTTTAGTTACTGTTGCTCTATTGTAAATCATGAAGTCAGGTAGTGAAGAGGCCTCTAATTTTGCTCCTTAATGATTGCTGTTTCTTTTGGTCTGTCTTATTTTTTAGAGAGTGGGTTGGGTGTATAGAAATTAATTTTGTCTTTCAGAGCACACATAAAATTCTTCAGACATGTTTCACACCCGTGGATGAAGTCCAGATACCTAACTGACCTATCTTCCCTTGCCTTCTTTTGCCAAAATATCATCCACCAACCCAGCCATACCTGTCCATTCCCTGCTCCTCAAAACCTTCTCAGACTTACATGTCTCTCTTGTGCATACGTATCTCTCTGCTTGGAATGCCCTCTGCCTATGTTCACCTGGACACATTGTTGGAAACACTGGGATTTACTACCTTACTAGTGATAGATAGTCTTCAGAATGGAAAGTTTTTCAAGTGCAACCTGGTCAGAAAAGAAAGAAAGAGTGAATTGTATACTTGGAGCTTAAGACATAGCCACAGAGAGTAAAGAAAAAAAAAAAGAGAGAAGGGAGTATGAGCTGAAAATACATGTGGTGTTTAAAAGAATGTTTCAGATTTTAGGTAGAGTTACTGAATATGGTTTTCTGGAAGTTGTCCTCCCTTTAAACACTCATGGCAACCCATTTTTCTTTGCTGTGTTCCCTACCTCTGTTTAAAAGTACTTATTACAGAATCTGAACCTGCAAGGCATCAGGCTGCCTTCTCTGAAGTAGCATCTCTGTAAATGCTGCAGAATGAGTAAGATCCCGCCGAGCACTGAGCACCAATGACCAAGGTGAGCAGACTGCAGAGTGCATTGAGCGGGGCATGTAAGGAAAGTGATACATCCCGAGCCACACCCTGAGAGCTAATGCTCACTCGTGCTTACAGTGAGGCCTGAGGGGTAATTCATGAGCATTCCACTTTCAGAGGAAGATATGTGGTTATGGAACATGATCGTTAACTTCAAAAGTCATTCCTTTACCAAATTTTATTTGCAGCCATAGGTGTCTGTAGCCAAGAAGTTTGCAGGCTATTTTCACTCCTTGCTTCCCTTGCAGCTAAAGCTGACCAAGTGATGAGTGCCAGCCAAAGAGAACAACAAACATACTTTGAGGCTTCTGAAAAAGCTTTTAGTTTTTGATAAAAGAAGAGTATATTTATCTCCTTGTACATTCTGGGTATTTGGGACTCTGACATGAAAATGTAGCCTCAAACTCTGGCAGCTGTCTAGGGATTGTGAAATGATTAACATGACAACAAAACACTCCCAGACCACAAAGGGATTGATCTTTGATATAGTCATTGAATAAACCCTTAAACTGCACATCTTATAACTGACTTTTGAATAAATGACTTACATTCTTAAGGTTCAACACAGTTGGTTTTCTGTTACTTGCAGTTGAACACATTTTAACTAATCAATAAAATCTATTGCCTTTGGTCTCAATATTTCCAGCTTTTCTCAGACATAATGAGCAAGAAGAGGATATTGGGAGACATAAAAATTAGGCTGAAACGTTAGCTGAGAAATTAGCAAAATTTGTCTAATTTCCTTAAGCCTGCAATAATACATAAAGGAAAAATGAAATAAAGTTCAGATGTTCCAGGACTTTGAACTAATTTCATTTTCCACTAACAATTTCTGAACAAACTATTAATTTTTATTCATTTATTTATTTTTGGTACCAGGGATCAAACTCTGGCCCTCACACTTGCAAGGCAGGCAGCAGAACCACTGAGCCAAATACCCAGCCCCAAAACTATTCATTTTTAGATTAATAGTTTTATTTATTGTAATTTATTTACAGCTTAGGCTTGCTGATAGATTAAATTGTAAAGTGTAGTTCAGGTTTCTTGATCAGGTAGAGCAGATGCTAGCCTGGTTAATGAGGGTGATAGGGCACATCAGGCCAAGCACAACTTTAGCTTTCTAAAGAGGTCAGGATCAGAAATATGGGCAATCCCTGCCAGCCCAGGGCAGACAGTGATCTTGTTCTGGGATAATAAAAGCCTGTGTTAATCTTGATCAAAATTGACAAGGAGCTTTTCTCAACTTTCTTTCAAGCCAGCAGGAAGTTAAGGAGATTGGTTCCTTACTGGACATCAGCTCCTCCTTCAGCTTTTGCTAACCAAATCAAACCAGAGGGTCCACTCTATGAGGAGCTAGTGAGCAATGGCCTTCATCAAAACCTGACAAAACAGAATCAAAAAAGACTTCTTTAGGAGGACTCTTATTCATGAGCTATCTGATCACAAGAACTAACAGGCAATTTTTCCAATCTACAGTTTGCTATATGATACACAGTTTGCTATATGGTATAGGTATACAGGACAGCTGGCAGCCTAAAGACATTGGCCACTTAGTAGAGAACACTTAGCTGCCACACAGTCCTGTAAGCCTAATTTAACAAAAATCTCTGCTATTAGACTAAGGTTACATGTTTTAGTCAGCAACTGCTAACACCCAGCAATCAGAGCTTGCCACTTCCCAGCAGCCATTGCCTACATCAGTGAACTTGCTTTCCAAACAACTTACTTGTTTTCTCCTCCTGACTCCTCACCTTTGCCCTTGTCATTCTCACAGAAGAGGCCATTCTGATGGGTGACGGGGTCTCCTAAATGGCAGCTCTAGTCTTCATATGCCCCCAACTACTCCCTTTTTGCTTCAAGATTTGTCTCTACTTTTCATTTACTACTGAGAGTGTCAAGGTAGCAAAGTACCTCAGGACCACAGCCTGTGGCAAACTCATTGACACCGCAGAGCCAAGCATAGCTTCTATTTCAATTTTTCTTGTTGCTGTATTCTCATCCTTGTAGATTCATTTTCTTCTTTGTCACTAAACAGAAATCAAAAGAAAAAGACAGATCGTAATTTTCAGAGAGTTAGTTTTTGAAGTAGAAAAGAGAATAAATGTAAAATCAGGTTTGGTGAGTGAAACTAAGATCAGTTTTTAATCTCCATGGCAGCCCTTCCTCCCAACCACTTTCAGTGTGTTCCCCTCATGGTCAGAGACACTATTACGAAGCTGCGAGTCACAGTACTTTCAAAGGAACCACAAGTAGACGGACAGCAGACTGCTCTGCACAGTAAGGGAGACCAGAGGACAATATCCACAGTTGAAGGTCACTGAAATAAAGGTGCTTCTGCACAAAGACTGACTTACGAACTAGCAGATTGAAAAAAAAAACAACTAATTAAACACACATTTCATGGTGAAAGAAACTAAATCCAAAAGAAAGAAGTGAGACAAATAAGGAACCATGAAAAGGAAATGGCCAATCTAACAAAAAATGACTAACAAGGAAAGGTAAGTAAGCACAGAAACAAGGTAGAGTGGAAGATTAACTTAGGGAAATATGCAAGATGGGAGGGCCGATTAAACAGTTTCAAGAAATAGGTTTCAAATTTCTTAGATTTTTCTGACTGAAAGTGGAAATGATAGATCACCTTCAGACATTTTGAAATGAAATATAATTCTTAAAATTCATGTGACCACCAAAATACCAACTAGGAGATGTGGACAAGTGGGTAAGGCTAATGCTGTAGAAGCTATGAAATGCTGGTACTTGTTGAGAGCTTGAGCAATCTAGTGGAAAGCCAATGAGAAAGGGTAATGGAGAGGAAGGACTCTAGAAAGTGCAAGGAAAATAGCTCAGAAAAATGCAGTCATAAACATAATTCTAAAATTATCAGCAACAAGAAAATATGATTTGATTCAACTTTCTAGTTAAAAACAGAATGGTTCTCAAATCATATGTGAAAACAAAATCTAACTATGTGTTAGTAGTAAGAGAGATATGTTTAAAGCAAAAGGACAAAGTTTAATAGTACACTCATGGGAATAGATATTAAGTAGAATATTAATTTAAAAAAGTGGTACAGAAAAATATACTTGAAAGAAAATATGACATGGTTTCTAAAGGTGCTACAGGAAAAAAATACTTAGGAAGATAAAAGAATTCTGAGATTTCGTTAACTTACTTAATTTTCAATTAGCAAAATCAAATATTAGTGAATTACTCAAAGAAAATCATAAATCCAAAATCTCAATGAAAAATTCTAAGAAAAAATGTTTCAGTAACTAATTTACTTCAAAGGAAAAAGCTAGCAAAAGTATAGAATATTGTTAACAGCTTTATTGAGGTATAAATGACATACAGAAAACCTTCACATTGAAAGTGTACGATTTGATGAGTTTGGACTTGTATTATATATACCTATATATCTCTCTATATATAGATATATAGATATATATATCTCCAGGAAACCAGTACAATAATCAAAGTGATAAACATATCCATCACCTCCAAATGTGTTCTATTTCATGTGTGTGTGTACATATGCATGTTTGTGTGTGTATCTGTGTGTGTGTGTGAGTTAATAACACCTAACATGAAATATACAGTCTGAACAAGTCTGAACAGGCATAATAACATAGTATTAACTATGTATAACTATGTGTACTGTGTATAAACATAGTATTAACTATCAGCACTGTATGTAAAACATAGCCCATTTCCCCTTCCTCCAGTCTCTGGTAATTACCCTTTTATCATCTGTCACTGTGAGTTCATCTAATTTAGATGTCCCCTACAGTATTTGTCTCTGGCTTATTTCTTTTCTTTTCTTTTCTTTTCTTTTCTTTTCCTTTTCCTTTTCCTTTCCTTTCCTTTCCTTTCCTTTCCTTTCCTTTCCTTTCCTTTCCTTTCCTTTCCTTTCCTTTCCTTTCCTTTCCTTTCCTTTCCTTTCCTTTCCTTTCCTTTCCTTTCCTTTCCTTTCCTTTCCTTTCCTTTCCTTTCCTTTCCTTTCCTTTCCTTTCCTTTCCTTTCCTTTCCTTTCCTTTCCTTTCCTTTCCTTTCCTTTCCTTTCCTTTCCTTTCCTTTCCTTTCCTTTCCTTTCCTTTCCTTTCCTTTCCTTTCCTTTCCTTTCCTTTCCTTTCCTTTCCTTTCCTTTCCTTTCCTTTCCTTTCCTTTCCTTTCCTTTCCTTTCCTTTCCTTTCCTTTCCTTTCCTTTCCTTTCCTTTCCTTTCCTTTCCTTTCCTTTCCTTTCCTTTCCTTTCCTTTCCTTTCCTTTCCTTTCCTTTCCTTTCCTTTCCTTTCCTTTCCTTTCCTTTCCTTTCCTTTCCTTTCCTTTCCTTTCCTTTCCTTTCCTTTCCTTTCCTTTCCTTTCCTTTCCTTTCCTTTCCTTTCCTTTCCTTTCCTTTCCTTTCCTTTCCTTTCCTTTCCTTTCCTTTCCTTTCCTTTCCTTTCCTTTCCTTTCCTTTCCTTTCCTTTCCTTTCCTTTCCTTTCCTTTCCTTTCCTTTCCTTTCCTTTCCTTTCCTTTCTTTTCTTTTCTTTTCTTTTCTTTTCTTTTCTTTTTCTGGTACAGGGGATTGAACTCCAGCCCTTACACTTACAAGGTGAGTGGCAGAACCACTGAGCCAAATCCCCAGCCCCCTGGCTTATTTCAATAAGCATAATTCTATCCATTTCATTTTATGTTGGCAAAAAAAGCAGAATTTCACTCATTTCTCATGGCAGCAAAATCTGTAAACAAATGGTACACGAATGGATAAGTACCATGGAATTTATTCAGTCGTTAACAATAAGGAAATATCAAATTTTAAAAATCTAATCATGGGTTTAAAAAGAGATTATAGGTATTGGATAATACTAAAAAGGAATTTTTGCAAAGCCATTTCCACAACATGAAATCTGGTGGTCAATCTCAGGTCCTTGTTTCACTCCCCCTACTAGTGGTCTGTTGGGGGCTCTTTCATTAAACCATTTTATTCCCTTATACTTCAGAAATAGAACTAACCAAAAAATCAATAAAGAAATATCAGAGGTGAACTATACCCTTGAATTTAATATGTATCTAGAGTATTCCAAAGCACTACAACAGATTGCAGTGTCTGCAGCACATGATATTTTCTCCAAAACAGTCCACATACTGATTCACAAAGCCTGCTTAAATAAATGTAAAAGAGTCAGAATCATCTCATTTGTACTATCAGACCACTGTGCAATGAAAATAAAAATAAAAATTAGTGATAGAAGAAATCACACAAACTGTAGAAACACATAAAAATTCATAAAACACTGCTAAAAAACCAATGGGTCCCTGAAGAAATTAAAAATTTTCTGGAAGTTAACAACAGTGCCTATACAACTCAACAGAACCTCTGGGACACAATGAATGCAGCCTAAGATGGAAGTCCATTGCAATCAATGCTTATCCTAGGAAAACAGAATGAGTTCAAATAAGTAACTTATAAGGAACCTCAAGATCCTTGAGCTATAACACTCCAGACCCAAACCAAAACTAAGCAGATAAATCCTAAAGATTAGAGCAATTGATGAAATCAAGACTAAAAAAGCAACAGCTAGTTCTTCAAAAGAATAAATGATCTCTTAGAAAAACTTATAAGAGAGAGAAAAGACTCATATCAATGCCTTTGGAAACGCAAAAGACAAAATCACAACAGACATTGTTGAAATCCAGAACATAGTCACTACTATGAAAAATTGCATTCCAACAAATTAAGAAATTTTAAGAAATGAGATGAGAATTCTAGGCCATATAAAAATACCAAAGCTAACCAAAGAAGACATGGAAATGCTGAACAACCTAATAATAAGGAATGAAATTGAGATAATAGAATCTATCACCTTTAAAAAGCCCGAGACCTGATGGATTCATTGCTGAATTCTACAAAATTTTAAAGAATATTGCTCCTCAAGCTCTTCAAATAAATTGAAAGTGACAGAGTGCCTCCAAACTTATTTATGGAAGCCATCATTATTTTGATTTCAAAGTCAGATAAATCCAAAATGAAAGAGAAAACTGTAGGTCAAGCTCCTTGAGGAGCATAGATGCAAACTCCTCAACAAAAATAGAATGCAGTTCATCATAAAGACTGTACATCGTGAACAAGTAGGTTTCACACCAGAGATGCATGGATGGTTCAACACACATAAACTAATAAATATATCATATAAGCAGAAACAAGGTAGAAAACCAGCTGATCATATCAATAGATACTGAAAAGGCTTTCGACAAAATCTAACAGCCATTCATGGTAAGAACACTGAAGATAATTGAACAGAAGTACCATTCATGGTGTTTCAAGAAAAATGACATAACTAGGAATGAACCTAGGGAAGTTCAAGACCTATACAAAAAAAAGTCCAGTACTCTGAAAAAGGAGATTAAAAAGGACATCAAAAATTGGGAAGATACACCCTGCTCCTGGATAGGCAGAACCAGTATTGTCAAAATGGCCATACTCCCAAAACTGTTATACAGATTCAATATGATACCAATCAAATCACCAAAAATATACTTCAGAGGCCTAGAGAAAAAACCCTAAAATTTATATGGAACCAGAAGAGAACTAGAATAACAAAAGCAATCCTAGGCACCAATAGTGAAGCAGGAGACATCACGTCACCTGGCCTCAAGCTATAATACAAAGAAACAATAATAAAAATTGCATGGTACTAGAATAAAAAGCAATACATGAATCAATGGAAAAGAACTGAACATACAGAAATATCATCAGATACTTTCAATTTGATCTTTGAAAAGGGGCTCAAGAGCATACATTGCGGGAAAGACAGCTTATTCAACAAATGGTACTTGGAAAACTTGATATCAGTTTGCAGAAGATTGAAAACTGGATGTGTGTCTCTCATCCTGTAGTAGACTAAAACCAAAATTGATCAAAGATCTAAATATTTAATCAGAAACATTGAACGTACTTGAAAGATAAAATAGGTAAAACACTTGAAGTTTAGCTGTAGGAAAGATTTCCTAAGCAGAACTGCCATTGCATGAGAAATAACAG